CAGAAGGCTAGAAGAGTGGGAAGGGAGAAATCTAATCTTAGAAATTCTGAGGCTGATGGCTAATGGAGTGGGTGAGTAGGAGGGAACTAATGATTCATACTGTGCCACCAGGAGAAAAGAAAAGCAGACCCCACAGATTACTTTGGAAAGTGCCTAGACAGCGTCTTCCAGCTGAGGAAGGGTTAACCACTGCTCCAGAAAAATGTGCCTTACTTCCTTTGATTGTGACTGTCCCCTCCCTTCCCATCTCCTCCCCTTACAGCCCCTTTCCCCTGCCTTGTGAAGTTGGAAAAGCGTCTGCCCTACCAGAGAATGAGTATGTTCTTGAGTCTCACACAAGTGTGTTCCTGGACCCAAAATGTGTAAATGTGCATGCAAGCACGGGTGTACACACATGCCAGGCATGAAGTACCCCTGACACTGGAGTGGCAAGAAGACTTCTGGCCACATTTCTGTGCCCTGGCTGAGGAGCCTGAGGAGCCAGGGTGTGGGGTTGCTTTTGGGGGCGGGGGACTGAGTGAGCACTGACACCCCCCCCCCATCCTGTTGGATCTCCTGCCTCATCCCTGAGATCCCTGAGGCCCCGTGGGTCCTATTCTCTCACCAGGAGGTTTGGAGAGGCAGGTTGGGGGCGGGGGGGCACAGTCAGCTCTCCTGAATAGGGCTCTGTCCCACGCTAGGTACCTTGGATATGGGAATAAGGGTGGCCAGAAACAAAGAAGTCGAGCCTCTCCACCTCGGAGCTGGCTTCCAGAGGAGGCAAAGTGCAGAGAAGCTTGAACAGAGGGGGCCAAGACTGGCATGCTGGGGCAACCAGCCAGAGCTCCCTGGCCCTCCTCATCCGAGGAGGACAGAGCCATGCATTTCAGCTGTGGCCTGGGCTAGGTCTCCTCTGCAGCCTTGGATCATCTCGTCCCAACTTCTGAAAATAAAGTAAAACAAACTCCCAAACACTCAGATACTCGAAGAGAAACTGCCTATAGACTCCTTGCCTTTGACTCAAAGAAAAAAAGGAAAGCAAAAGAAAGAAACCAAAAACGTCTTAGTACAACTGTGCTGATTTCTACTTCGGAAGGTCTGTCTGGTGAATGTCTGCGGGCAGAGGCAGCCAGGCCCAGGGGTGCAAGGGGAAGCCTAAACTGAGAAAGCCTGGGAGCTCGGCTACCTGGCAAACAACATGTTCATGTGCACACTGTCGCCAAGACCCAGTTTCCTCAGTGCCTACAAATAAAAACCTGGGAGAAGGGTAGCTTTCCAGTCCTGCTGGCTCTGCAGCTAATGAACCATCCCCTCCCCACAGTGCTGAGGAAGAGGGGAGAAAGCTAGGCTTAATTAACCTTCCCCTAAACACAGATTTGGAGTAGGGAGTGCAGGCACGAAACACCGCAATGCTCCAGGAAGACTGTACTCCAAGTGCCAAATGCAATAAAGAAGCCCTAAGCCGTGGTAATGGTCAAGTAATGGCAAGTAAACTGCCTTCCTAGAAGGGGCCTCGGCCTCCATCGGGAGACTGTGCTTCCTCCTCAAAGGCAGTCTGAAACAAACAAATAAAAGTTCATTTTAAAACTCAGCTCTGTTTTGATCTAAATTTCTGAAGGATGAAGGGAAGCCCAAGTAGACATACCATCTGAACTGGTCACATATTTCCTTTTTATCTTCGGTAATGACTGCTGAGGTGAGCAGTTTAAGGACAGGAGAAACATTGGCGTTTACCTTTCCAATTTCTGAGCCTGTTTTCATAGGGATCAAATGTAGATGTAGTAAGCTCCACACACAACCTCTAATAGTCTTCTGCATCTTTACAAGACTTCTGGGGGGCCAGTAGCTCAGGGGGTTACTCCCAGCAACTGCTTCATTGCTGTGATTGAAATCCTGCGGCTGTCAGTTTGGGGAAGTGGGGTGGGATGGGGGCAGTTTCAGTGCTTCAGGCTCTAGATGGTGGGGGGCAGACCCAGCCCCACTTCCTCCCCATCCATCAGGAGAGCTGCGCTGGCGTCTCTGGCACAGCCCAGGTGCTGTCCTAGCGGCCAAGGAAACGGCTGGGAAATCTCCCGCACTGCCAGCACCTCTTGGCTTTTATTTTTCTTTTCTTAAATATGGAAATTAAAAAGCCAGAGGTTTTAGACAGTGCATATGTCGATCTTGCTTTTCCATTCTCTATTTTAATTAAATTTTTAAATCTTCCCATATGCTTACAACGAATTTATCAGCTTAAACTACTGTGTAAAAAATAGAAGCCTCACAAGTTCCAAACTGAATTGTGCATTCAAGATCAGTGTAACTTCGGGGGGTATTTTCAGAGTATGTAGTCTCTGGTCTTGATCCATAGGCTTCTGTGCTATAGCCAAGACCAAGCCAGGATTTATGGCCACCAAAGAAATTTACAAGACAAGAAGAGTAACAAGCAACCCAGAAAACAACGATTTTTACTTGTTTCCACTGTAGTATTTACTTTTACCATGATACAGGCAGATTTGATTTTTATAATATGATGATCACCCTACCTCTTCCTAATCCAGAAAAAGAAACCACAGCAGACTGACCCAGCAAAGTTTTCGTTGGATGATTGCTCTGCAGGGGTCACCAACCTTCTCAGCCACTAGCCACTATGGCAAAGGAAATAGCGCTTTAAAATCCAAAAATCCGTAGTTTAAATGTGATTTGCTTTATTATTCAGATTGTAACTGAAAAATTGCACAAGGCAACTCTTCCGTCTTAGGAAGGCAGATGTGGCACCAACAGCTGGAGCCCTAAATGAGAATCTGAGGCTCAGCCCGGCAAAGTTTGTCCTGTTGGGATTTAGCAGAAAGCCGTCCGGCATCCTCACCGACGCTGGAGACAAAATAAATGCCTCCCACCCGCTGAACGCCAAGATCAGACACTAGACTTTCTTTCTGGATACTGAATGAGCTGTGGGTGCAAGAATATTTCACTGCAGCAGTGTTCAGTTGCTTGGCAATAAATTGAAAAAGTTGCTCAAGAAAATTCGAAATGTTTTGTGTTCTGCTTTCACTTCGGCGGATGCCTGGCAAAGAGGCGCGGCAAGAAGCCTTAGGCTTTCATTTCACAACTTCGGCTGGGCTGAAGCAGGCTCTCCACCCCATCCCAACAACACACACACACACACACACACACACAGAGCGCATTCACTCCTAACCTTTAGTCATTGAAGCCCTCCAGCTTCCAGGCATATGTACATTTATTCCCCCTTACATGAAAGTAACGACATCAGGCTCATTTAAAAGCAAACAATACCACTGGAGCGCTTTGACAGAGAAGTGAAATGAACAATATCCAAAAAAGAAACAGATGGATTGCTTATCCCCTTCAAAAAAGAGCCCTATATTTGAGTTGCTCCCTGACGCCAAAGAGAGAAAAAAATAAATATCAAGAGAGTGTGGGAGTGCTTGGGTGAGGACTGGATGAAGCTCTGGAAAGGGGCCTAGGATGGCAGCATCTCCAGGGGTACACCGCAGAGTCCCACCGCCGGCCGGCGAAGCCAGGCGCGCCGAGGTGCCGCTGCTTCCCGAAGGCTGCCGCCCAGACGCCGAGCACTCGGTTTCCACAGTGCAAAGCACTGGAGGGGGAGGCTGGAGACTTCACCGCGCAAGGACACCCCACCCAGCCCCTCGCTCTCACTCTCCAGTCCACAAACCAAACAATTAATTAGAGCGCTGTGTCTCCCGAAGTGTAAGTGTGAGGGGGAAGGCGGCCTGTCCTTCCGGATCGCCCCGCGGCCGCCCCGCGGCTCCAAGCCGCCGCGTCCCCTAGGCTCAGGGAGCAGCTTTTGAGCCAGCCCAGCCCGTCGCCGGCAGTCCCGGACTCCAGTCCGTCCGCCTGGGTCCGTTCGGGGGCAACGCACGACGGGTCGCCTAATACTTCTGCTGGAAAGGTGGGGGGTGGGTCCCGCGCCCCAAACCCAAGCGCCATGTCCCGCGTGACCGGGCTGCTCGGCACCCGCAGGCAGGGGGCGCCGGGGAGGGTTACTGACCCGGATCCCTAGATGCACCCCGAACGGAGCGAGGGACGCAGTCGCGCCCTCCCTGCGCCCCTACTCCCGGGCCGCCGCCCCCTGGGGGCCACTCGGCGCAGCGCCAGCCAGGCTCGCGGGTCGCAGCGCGCCCTCCCGGCCTCTCTATCCTCCGCGGCTGTGGCCGCTGGCCGCGCGCCCTCCACTTCCCGCTCTGCACAGTTCGGGGGCTCTCCTCTCCCCGCCTGCCCGCGCCTGCCCGCGGCTCCGCGCAGCCCGTCGCAGCGCTCCGTCGGTGCCCCCACCCCGCGCTGAGGGCGCCCCCCTTTGTCTGCCCCGCGCCCCTCCCCAGTCCTCCCGCCGGCCGCGCGCGCACGCCGCCAGCCAGAGCGAGCGCACAGCGCCCACTACTGCAGCCGCGGCTCGCCGCCGCCGCCGCCCGCCCGCCAGTGCAACTTCAGCGGCCGGCTCGCAACTTTTCCCAACTCCGCCGCCGCCGCCGCCCGCCACCGCCACCGCCACGGTTCCCTCCGAGTCTGCCACCAGCTCCAAAGCCAGAAACAAACCCGAGCTCGAAATGCTCCCTTTCCTCCCCTCCTCCCACACCCGGGACTAGCTGGTTGGCCAGAGGCGACTCTCCCCCGCCTGGGGAACCCGGAGGGAGGGAGGGGAGGGGGACACGCTCTCCTCTCTCCCCCCACCCCTTCGCGCTCGCTCGCGCGCTCTCCTCCCTCCCTCCCTCGGTTTTGCCGCCCCCGCCCCCGCCCCCACCCCCACCCCAGGGTTGCCACAGCTGGTCGCTGTGTGGATCTGAGCGCTGCCCGGGGTCCTCTGGCGCCCAAAGCAGGCGCGAGAGCGAGGGTGCCTGGTGCGAGGCTGGAACCGGCAGGTTGCTGGGGCTGCGCAGCGCCTGCCCTCCACCCGGCGCCCCGCGCAAGAGGCAGCCCGCGCTCCGTCCGGAGTCCTGGAGACAGATACGCAAGATGGCAGAGGAGGGGGAAAGCCAATAGAAAAGGGATATTGCACCTACTTGTGGCCAGTTTCCTTGCCCTGCCTTTGGATCTCATGCTGTGCCCAGTCCTGCAGCCGCTGGTGTGTGGTTGGGTTTTTTTTTTTCTTGGATCTTTTCCTTCTTTTGCTCTCTCGCTCGCTCCCTCCCTCTTTCTTTCTTTCTCTCTCTCTCTCTCTCTCTCTCTCTCTCACACACACACACACACACACACACACACACACACTTCCACACACTCTGTCTTTCCCTCTTTCACTCTCCCTCCCTCGCCCTTTCTTTCAATCCACACTCGCTATCTCTCTAGCATTGTCAGTTTGGACACCTTCGCACATGCGCGCTAGACGCCCCTCCAACATCTCAGCGCCGCCAAAAAAAGTTTGGAGCGATTTATCACTTTGATTTGGAGATCTTGTCAGATGGCAATCGCCGAGGAGGCGGAGAAAGGGAGCCACGGGGAGGGCTGCGGGGGGCGGGGAGCCAGTGCGGGGAGCTGGAGGGGGGCAGACACCTCGCCCAGGGGGAAGAAAAGGAATGAAAAGCCTTGGGCAGAGCATTGATTCCGTGTTGGAATCACCAGTGAGCCTGGGTTGTAACTATACTGGTGTTTATCCCGACATAATTGTAGAAAATTTTCTCTGCTATCCGTGGAGAAAGCAAGAAGTGGGGGAGGGTGGGTTTCAAAATAAATATTTCCTCTACTAAGGAACTAGGAGACAGGCTGGATCTCGGCGAATCATTCAGGACAAAGTGAGACTCCTCTTGAACTTGAGAACTCTGCTGCCTAAGTCTGTTACTGCTACAGAAGCTACTTGGGCTTCCACTTTCAAAGTCGGAAGCAAAATAAACGTTTCTTTCTTGATTCTAGGTGTAATCCCAGTGTTTGATGTTGTCCTTCGGACATTTCCGTATTCTGGTGCCATGGAATAGTAACAATCAGCCTTGATTTGCAGGTCCGGGCCAGCGCGGGCTATGACACCCAGGACCTCTTTGCTTCCCTGAGGTTGGCGGTCACCTTCCGGCCTCCCCATCGCCGCCTCGGTTGCCTCTCGCTACTGCTCGGCCGGCATTTTCCCTTATTCACTTAAACCTGCAACCTGTGGGGTCACGAGAAGGAGGAAAAGAAGAACAACCCCACACATACACAAGCGCCCTAAAAGTATACACTGTTGAAATTTGCTTTAATTACAGGATTTACCAAGGAAGTGGACCCGCAGAAAGGAGGGCAACTCCTAAAGGAATTAGATGTGTTCAAGGTATGAATCAATCCCAAATACGTACAGATTTTCTCTTGGTACAACCACCTTGCATTAAACAGTGTTGTTCAATACTTTCCATGTGCTATTTATGTTCCCATTAATATCTGTTGCAAATCCTGCCAGACACTATAAAAGAAAATCACCATCTTTTGGGGCTCTGCGTTACAACAATACATCTGTGATAGTCAAAGGAAAAGGAAAGCTGGTCTTAAAGCATGGGATACTAAAGGAGAAAGGCGCTGGACCATTGGGAATGCCCAGTTGCACCTGTTGGCATTAATGATCAAAACTAGGACCAGGAGTGTGCGACAGCTGATAGGACCTCCTCAGTATCCAGGGGAATCCAAATTTAAAGGATACCACCCTGACTAAAGATGTCTCTCTCTGTCTCTCTCCCTCCCCCCCTCCTTTCTCCCTCTCCCTCCCTTTGTCTGTCTGTCTCTCTCTCTCTGTCTGTCTCTGTCTGTCTGTCTCTGTCTGTCTGTCTCCCTTCTTCCAGAGCTGAGTAACTCTGGTAGCATTTGGCTGTAACATACAGATCCCTGAAGAAACAAGCTACAGGTCCTAAGAGACACAGAGGTGTAACCTTGAAACGTGAGGAAGGGAAGGGGGAGACGGGGAATTATACAAAGCAGAAGCGAAACAACTGAACGGAGGCTCTAAAAGGTGCCCACGTGGGTGAAAACCATCATCCCCCTGGACTAAAAGAGACACGTGGGGTTTTTTCCCCTTAGAACTGCCAATTTTGTTGCTTCACACATACAGGTGAGCATACTTACACATTTGATGTGTGCAAAAGCACAAGCCACTGCATTCTGTGTGGGTCTTCAGAGGTCTGCAACCCTAAAACTTCCCCCAAACACAAATGTATCGGTTCCCCTCATTTTAGAGGTGTCTTCCTTTTGACCAGTAAATCTGGGAGACTTGAAAATCTCTGAAAAGGATACAAAATCTCTAGGAAAACATACTAGGCTGATGGGCAAGTTCTTACTGAAGTTCTTACAGCTGGTCTGGTCAGTGTGAGAAACTCTGGGGGAGCACTGCTCAAAGGACACAGCACTGGGCGAGCCTACCTGGACGACCCTACCTGTCCAAACCTAAAGTGCCTTGGCCTCTGCAAGGAAAAGAGGTGGAGTCCGCCAAGACCTGGCACCCAGGCTGCCCCCAGCAGCAGGAAGTTCTGCCTGGAGTTTTCCTCTCACCTGCCCACCCTGAGGAGCTTTTAAAAAGAAAAAGGAGCTGCCCCCTTCCCTCCCCTACACACTTCCCGTTAATTCCGAGCACCCCATCCCCCAGGGAGTCTATCTATATTTGGGTTCCCTTGGAGAGGAGTAAAGAGGTCTGCGGGAATTTAGTAGGAAAGAACAGAATCATGGAACCAAACCCTGAAATTAAATATAAGATCCACATGTGAAACTGGGCTTCTTGTTTCTGCTGAGAAATTACACACCACGTGGTGGGCTGGAGGGGGTCTGTGACGGGAACTAGACCAAGGGGAAGGCGGAGTAAATCAAATCCGAGTCTCCGAACCCCCAAGTGTGAAGGTCCTGGTCCGGTCAGTGTGAGGGTCTGATTTCCCTAGAAAGGCGTGGGGGGTGACAGTGGGGCACAGAGAGAGCACGCTCCCTTTTGATTTTAAAGCTCCGGGGTTGCAATGAATTCAGTAGAGGAGTCTTTCTCCCTGATCTTTCTAAGGTTTTGGAACACAACAGAATCTGAGCTCATCTAACTGAAATAATAAACACAAAACCTTCCGTATTCCCAGGCTAAGGCATTGCGAAAAGACAAGGCATTATTCTTTTTAAAATGCATAAATAGAGTATTCACAATACCATCACTATTAAATTTTCAAATCTGAAAAGTAGGTTTCTTTTCCTTTTGGTTTTTTTCTCTCTTTCTCAAGAATTTGTTTTCTGCCCTAAGTGTGAGCTAATAAAAGAACTAGGTTGCTAGTTCACATGTGCTTAACCTACGGGAGCAAACGCCCAGGCACAGCCGCGGCACGCACCGCCTGCAGCTTCGCAGTCCCAGCCCGACGGCCGCGAGAATTCCCATTCCCAAGGGCCTGGACCCCGTCAGGTCCACCTGTCCCCAGTCCCAGCCATGAGATCCAAGCAGGTGACTTTGTGTACGGTCCCCTGGAGTTCCCGACACCCTCTGACGGTCGTCTAAGCTATGGCTGTCCCTAAAGAAAAGAGGCCTCCAACAAGTTGTCCAAGCTGCCTTAGCGGCCTGCCCCCACCTCCCTCCGGTGCTCCCCCTCCCGAAATTCGTTTCCTTGGGAATGAGGGGGAGTCGCTTGGGTCCTAAAGTCTTCTCGAGTTTCCTCCCACCCCAGCGACCATCCTAGAAGCAGCGCCTTTTTGGAAAGTCGATGAGTTTATAGGCAGTTTGGGTTTGATTGGGTTTGGGTTTGGGTTTGTTGTTTTAAGCAATAATTGGGGGGAGGGTTCTAGATGGAAGTTGGGAGCAAGATGTGAAGAGGAAAACAGACAAGTATATCCCTCCTCAACTGTGTTTAATTACAACTAGAAGCGGCAAAGAACCGGTTTTCAGTACATTACATGCAGCAGGACATTTTCCTTTCCTCGTATAATAATTGAGCTAGCCCCACAGTATCTTTGGAATAAAGTTCGAATTCTCTATGGAGGTATTTCTTGGCCTATTGTCTTTGTGCAGTGAACTTTACGTTGTGCTATTTAATCGCAAACTATATTCTCCTTGCTACCAGCAAGATTAATTTAATCATTGTAATGCAATTATTAATACTGTTTACCCAACGCTGGGTTTCAGGTTGGCTGTTAAGAAATTAAAATCTCGCTGGGTGACCAGAGCTAGGCAGGGGTTTCTTCATGTTGAAATGAAACAGTCCTCTTTATTTAGTCTCAGAGCTCCAGCTTTCGGCCACGGGCTCAATTAGCCAAAATGGAAACAATTTTCATTCATTGCAATAACTCACTGTTCTAGAGATCGCTTTCAAAATATACACTTTATTATTATACGCTGACCTCGGTGGCGTGGAGTGGCAATAAAAGAAAGAGGCAGGGAGATCTATCTAGCCCCCTTGGGCTATAATTATTAGAAATTAATTGGGTTCAGGACCCTGGGTAGCCTAGCTAAATTAATAGCTTGTCTAGTGGTCTAAATCCGAATTTTCAGTTCACAAGAGAGAAAGGGAGAGAGTCACGGACATGAATTGCAGACCCAAGGGACGCCTGAGTTTACTTGCAAGACACTGATCTATTAAAGTGTCCAGAATACATTTGAGTTGGACTGAGGGGGACGGAGACGGAGGGGGCGGGGGCGACATGAAAGAAAGGAACAAGATGAGGCGGAGGCTGCGAGTGAGTAAAAAAGGTCTTGAGTTGATTTTATTCGATTTTTCTTGTCTGCATTGTTTTCGGGAGGGGTTGCATTTAGGGGTTAAAATAAAAAATAAAGATCCCGTGTACTCGGAGCTGTCGTGCCGGAGTAAAAGTGAAAAGGGAGCCTTAGGCAAAAGGAAATTACTGCGAGCCCGCGTGACCTTTCAGGGAGGTAATCAATCAAGTGATCAACAGGGATATTTATCATCGCTCTATAGGACTACTTCGGCCCGCTCGGGCGGGGTGGGGGTGGGGCGCAGGAGGAGGGTGGAGACACGCGCGCACTCGCACACACTCACAAAAGTTTTAACAAACCCGATAAGCCTCGAGACAGAACGCGTAGGCTTTAATAAGTGTTAAGACTGCTGCTTTTGTTTGACGTCCTGGGAGAAACGCGCACGCGGCCCCGCGCACCGGGCCAGGCGCGCATCCCGGCGTCGGCGGCCGGCGGAGGCGCTGACTTCGAACCGAGCGCCGCGCGGCCCCGGCGAGGGCGGCCAGCTCGCTCGCTCCGCGCCTCCAACGCTGCGGGGCGGCCGCGGCGGGCGGGCTGAGCCGGCTCTGCCGGAGGCGCGGGGCGGCGGGCGCGCCCGGGACGGGCTTCTCCTCTTCCTGCGAAATCCTCGCGCCGCCCGCGCAGCTGCGCCCCGAGCCAACCGGGCCCCGCGAGCCACGGGCGGCGGCTCGCGCGTTTTTGCCGGGTTACCTTCCTCCTTGTAAAGCTCTCCGTTTGGTAAATCGCGTTTGTTCCCGGGCTTCTTACAAACGTTCAGGGTTAACAGCAGTCTTGCTCCCTCCCCCTGCCGCGTGACAAGCCCCATCGTCGCGAGTGTGCACGTTTAGAGGACCGGTGGTTGCCGGTTGGCGATGATGACGACGGTGATGAGGATATAAATAGTCGGTTCCCAATCTACCCCCCCCACCCCGGCTCGGGGAATTATGATCAGCAGTCCCCTGGAGACCAGGTCCGCCGCAGACTGGCCCCGGGACGGAGAACTATTTCCCGCCGGGTTACGGAACGCTGGGGTGATGCGCGCCGCCTCCCAGGTAGCGCGCCGCGGCTCCCGCGGGTGGGAATGTGGGGCCGCGCGGGGCTGCGCCAAGGCCGCGCGGGTTGGCACCAGCTGCGGCGAACTCCGCCGCCCCGCCCGCCGCGCCGCTCGGCTCGGCTCGGCTCGGGCGCTTTCTGCAGCGCCGCCGCGCGGCCTCCTCCCGCACAGCCTGGTCTGCGGCGCCCCCGCCTGGTTTCCGCGGCGGCGGCGGCTCCAGCTGTGCACGGTAGCCGCCTGGGCGTGGGGGTGGGAAACAGCTGGAGCGCCCCGGGGAAGCGCGGGGTGGGTGGAGAGGAACCCAGCGAGGGGGATTACAAGGCGAGCAACTCCCGGCGCTGCTACCGGTGTGGTTCAGGAGGAGCAGATTCCCAGAGGCCCAGAGCACTACCCTCTGGGAAATGCAGCTGCAACAAGAAACCAGGCTGCTGGTGTGCTGTGCGATGCCCGGAGTCCTCTTCGCATCCCTTCTACTCTTACAAAAATGTTTCTAAAGCTTAAGATGCATAAAAGTCGCCCGGAGCTCTTGTTAAAATGCAGATTCTGGTGCGTAAGTGTACAGTGAGGCCCGAGCCCTCAGCATGCCTTAACACGCTTCCAGGTGAATCGGATGCTCCTGGAAAGCGTGACCGACGTCAAACATGGGTCGTACTTCATTAGAAAATCAAAATCGACATTTCAAACACGTGATTCGCTTGAACAGTGAAGTTTCAGACGGTCTGTCCTGGAATGTGCCTGGCTAGGTTTTCTGTCCTTCTGTCTTTTTAAATCAGCACACCTTCAAGATGAAATCTCATTCCAAATCCCTTAGAGCCGGTAAAAGCTACATCTCATCTGACCCGCTGTAGAATCCCTGGAACCCTTATCCATGGGCCTCTGGCTTTAGAGGCCGAATGCTACTGATGAGACTTTTAGGATTCT